AAGGTAACACCGCACATGTTTCATACCGGTAATACACGCTGTATTTGGAAGCGCAAATACAAATATCTATGGATTATAACAAAAGAAGGCACACTTTTATACAGTAAAGCACATGGAAATGTTAGCAGATACATTGAATTCTTTCTACTCTAATATCTGTGTGTGTGAAAAAATTGTGTGTGTCTGCCCATCATTCAGTGTTAGCTTAGTAACTTTTCATTGAAGCTGGGTTACTAAAGCCAGTTGATAGACTGAAATGTTTGTCTCTATGAAACCCGATGTACTTTGATTGTTTTCTTCAGGTTGTATCTTCCTGGTCGAATTGCACTTATTGCAAGTCGCTTTGAATCAAAAGCGGTCAGCTAAATGCAATGTAATGTAATGTTAATGTTTATACTGTACACTGGATATTATTTCATGATGATTTTGTATGTTGAATAAAAGGCACATACTTCCCTGAAGTCCAGGTTTATAGCATCCATTTGCAGATCGAAGTCAATATGATCTTCCTAATGTTCCATCGCGCTTGAAAAAAGATACTGTGAGATGTATGACTTAGTGTTGTACATTCCATCACTGGAAAGCAAGTCAAAAATCATTGACATGAGGGCCGGAGGAGAGCGTCAGGTTGCTGATGCAGGGGAATCCTTAAAGAAATGGCTTCAATGGTATTCTGTGATCAATACACCAGCAGGCAAACAGATGGGCTTAACTGCTTAAGGCATTTCTCTGTTACTGATTTATGTTCTGCATACTCGCAAAAGTGTCTGTTTTGCACAAGTCATTTAGTCTTAAACCCATATTTTTTCCTTTGCCAGGTAAGAGGAGATTTATTTTCACTACAGCTTTAGTCGTTATCGATGCCACGCCAGCCGCTGTTACAAGAATCGCTTTAAGCAAGTTGGCAATTTGTTGTTTCGCACTGGTTAATCGGTTGTCCGTATTTTGCCTATCAGAAAAATAATCTAAAAAGCTAACTATGGTGATGTTTACTTATAGGTCTGCATTGCTCGCACAACCGAAGTTTAAAAAGGCTGCTCCTGCCGCCGGCCAACAGGAGTATAATGGCACACAGCCCAGCGGTGTGATGGTGGGGGTCTGATAACAACAGAACACTGTTTCATGAGCTGGGGGAGCTAATCTGTTGGGGCATATTTACTCATTATTGATAAAATCACAATCACTGTGGTAGGTTAGCAGAGTGGGTTTGTATCAGACTGTAACTGTATATTATTTCGCTTTGACATGTAGGATGCTCTTCTTTTTTTTATTTTCTTGTACTATTATTGAATCTCTGCAGCCCAAATTTCATTATTAATGTTTTAAACCGGTACTGTAATTGAAACATTTGACAATAACAAACCTTTGTAGGGTCACAACCATTTGTTCAGGACTAGCTTTACTGTATCTGCAGTGATCAGGTGTCTTCTGATCAAGAGTTCTGGATATGTATCAATTAAGTTAGAGAAAATGTTACTGTATAACATGTATTCTCTATACATTCTCGTATCCCTAATACACACATGAAGATAGGAAGATCATGTTTCTTCAACTCTGGAATCAATGTGTTCATCATAAACTCGACCAATTACAAATGCTTACAATGTGTGATCACCATGAACTAATGCAGGACTTCATTTGCATTGTTCAGTATTGATGTTCTTCTGTATCATGTATTTTTGGACATGCATTAGTCATGGATGATGAATGTTTTAGCATGTTTGCATATACTGTTGTTACCCAACGGATTTTGTTAGTACTGATTCATTTGGCAGTAACTATTTTTAAGAGCCGCATATATTTTAGATCTTTTCTATTAGCGTATTATGTTCTAGATATTTATTATTAGCAATCTCTTATCAAACATATTTACGAAGGGACTGAAACATGCTTAGCCGATCTCCATTTAGACAACAAATCAAATCAAGTTTTATTTATATAGCACATTTAAAAAAAAAATTTGGTCGAGCCAAAGTGCTGTACATATAATAAAAATACCCTACAGTAAAGACACTTTACAGCAAATACAACAGCACAGTGTGTACAGAATATCAGTATGAGAAAACGACACCCTCTGTCCTTAGACCCTCACATTGTACAAGGAAAAACTTCCGGGGAAAACCCACAGTTTAAAGGGGAAAATGGGAGAAACCTCAGGGAGAGCAACAGAGGAGGGATCCCTCTCCCAGGACGGACAGACGTGCAATAGATGCCGTGTGTAAATTGAAAAGATAATACATTTTAAAGCGTAGGTAGACCAAATGTTTGGAAATGCATGTGTCTATAATAATAAGATCACGCATTTTAAAAGGTTTTTCGCCTGCCGTCTGTCTGCAGACTTGTCAAAGCATTAATTCATGGTTTTTACGGTATCAGTATGTTGTTACTTTGGCATCATTTTGAAACGTGTATTACAATTAAATCACGGTCAAATATGTTCATTGTGTTTTAGTTGTAGCCCCCTTGCGATTCTCTCTCTAGTTTAGCAAACTCAGCCCGACTCAGCCCTGTTTGTTGGCCCCGATAGAACCACGATTTTGTCGGGCCAGAAAAAAGGTGAAAAAGTAGCCCCGGGCCGGAACTAGGCATAGTGGAAACGCAACCAAAAACGGGCCCGGCACGACACGGCACGCTTAAACCGCGCCATGGTGGAAATGCGCCATTAGAGGACATTTTGTGAGTGAATCACACCCAAGGGGTGGGATAGTTGGGAAAAAATATATTTTGAGGAGTAAAAATAACACCCATGAGTGTTACATTTGGTCTCCATAACTCCTCATACTCTTCTTCACTCCTCATACTCTTCTTCACTTCATTACCTCTCCTTGTGCTATAGGCTACCTTATCCATGAGTCAGCAGCGTGGAGCGAGCGTCTGCAGCGCTGGTTCTTCCTCCCTCGGCGTGCCAGTCACAAACACTACGAGGAGGCAGCAGACGAGCAGCGTGCCACCAACCTCCTCCTGTCCTGCCCCGCAGACTTCAGCTCCTTCACAGTGCGGCACGTCGGACCGCTCAACCTCATCCGCGGTTTCTCCTCGTTTAAATTTGTCCCAGGCACAGACGATCAGATCATTCTGGCTCTGAAGTCAGAGGAGTACGCAGGCAGCATCGCCACCTACATCACTGCCTTTACGTTAGACGGCCAGGTGCTGATGCCCGAGACACAGATAGGGAATGTGAAGTTTGAAGGGCTGGAGTTCATTTAAGAGGAGCAGAGCTGAAGGTGTGCAAGGTCTAGGAGATTAAGAAGTGGACTGAATACGTGCAACACTCTTGTTTTAAGTCTTTGTATTAAATTCCCCTCAGTTCTACTGTGCAATAATGACACAAAGCTATATATTTCATAATGATATTGTATAAGAGCAGCAAGAGAGGGCAACAGAGAAGGAGAATGTCATCACCAGGAGAGACAATGGAGTTGACTAATTAAGTTATTTAGCATGAAAGGGTTGATAGAGCTATGCTAGTTATTAAGATATTTAATGGTTTTAAAATCAGACACTACTTATATTGCAGATGAGTCTGGGTCAAACAAACGATATAAATAAGGAGCTGTCAGCGTATGAAACCCCAGGTAATGTGGATCTCTTGCCCTGCAGCCAAACGCTGCTGCTCAGACACTCAGGATAACATACTTTTAAAGGATGGAAATAAATATCCTTTAACTACTTGAAATATCAAACTCACTCAATGCTCTGTGCTTTATCTTACCTGATCAGACACACTGAAATCTCATATATAATTTATATTAATGTAATGGGTTTATTTACTTGATGCATATCAACTTCTGATTCATAAGCTACATGTGATATTTTTTCAACCTCACATTTCTCACTTATTTTAAATAAACTGAATATTATATGCTTCTCAGGCCAATATGTGAAGCACCAGCTATTACATTTAAACCGTAACATTTCTGTAATCATTTTGTATCCTCTCAAAATACAAATATTTAAAATAAATTCTCTTGTTTCAATGTGTGCTATGTATTCAGTCCGACAACAAATAAGAAACTTCAGGTTGGATAAATGTGTTAACATTTATTGTGCTGGGTTAAAACAATTAATTCATCTTAAAAAAGTATCTATACATTTCAAATGTTCTAGAAAATCAGTAGTACATCAGTGTTACCCTTTTTAATTTTATGCAGTAGTTTTTTTTACAAATGTCTTAACAAACTAATGTTACAGTGTTGGAGATGGCTTTAAAATTACACAAATAATTATTTAATACTACTAAGAAATGATGACGGATTACAGTTTGACATGCTGCAAAGTTAGCAAAAAACATTCAAACCTGAGGTAAATCCTTGCGATGATTTTCGCAAAGGCTTGTTCACAAGCTTGTTCACAGGCTTGTTCCCATGGCGATGATGTCCTGAGGAAGCCCGGCCATGGTTATGGGTTTGAAGAAGCCCAGTTTAGGATACAAGTCGAGCATCCTCCGATCGCTGTGCCTCACCTCACAGAACACGCCTCTGGAACCTGAAAGCAATACCAAGATGGTGTTTCAGATGTATTTCAAATTCTAGAATTAGCATTAGGATTGTGTTTGACAGATACAATCGCTCCAAGTTTGAACAAATGTGTGCAGTGTCAGGGGATGCAAAGCTCTGCATCTCAGCAAGAAATACATTTCAACTACAGGAATTATTGATTTCTTCACCTGGATAAATCTAACATCAAATATCATGTTGGCAGGTAGCTGGTGTGACAATGACATAACTCTTTCTCGTGCAGAAAATTGTGTATTTAAGGGAAACCTTACTATAATATCTAAATGAATATGTTTCCTCTTAGCTGAAGTGCTATTTATGAATCAAGTGTGTTCTGGTGTGAGTTACCAGGAAATCATATATCCATCATATTCTCCAATATAATGATACTAGAGGGCACTTGGTTTCTGGTGCTTAAAGTGACAACAGCAATTTCTCTTTCCAGAAACAGAGGATTCAAAATAAGATGCATTTGTGAGAAGTTTCAAGTAGGAACTATTCTTTCTTCTGCTCAGTGTGCATCTTCTAATGCAGGGGTTCCCAACCTTTTTTCCCAAGAGCCCCCCCAAATGACTCCTGTTGGAAGTTGCGCCCACACACACACAAGGGGGCGTGCAACAGCTGTAGTTAAAGTTTAAAAGTCTCAAATGCTAAAACTACTGTCACAAACTGGATGAATGTGAAGTATTTTGTTAAAGGAGGATACAAGTGTAATTAAGGAGCACTATTGGAGTGACTTAATTAATTTGGATTCCCGCTGCATGAAAAAATTAAAGGACAGTGGAAACAATTCACAAAGGGATTAAACTGTTTAAAACACATGCTCAAAGTAAGCCGGATTTTGCCGATGTGTTTATGTGGATTCAAAAGTCGTAAATAATCTACAAAATGGAGGAGACCGATCTGATTGGAGCAACTGTGACTAATAATCCAACTGAAACCGGCATGGACAATGACTATGTTTTAAAAAATGCGCTTATCCAGAAAATCCTGGTTTGGACACTTTATGGGCAGAAGAAACATTTCTATTATTACTTTTTTTATTATTATTATTTATTAAAGAAAGAATTCTAAATTTCTGTCTTTTTATGCCTTTATTAGCTACTAACTTAATTAATTAATCAATTATCTATTATATTTTATTGTAATGTAGAGACAGGCCCCCCCCCCCC